GGAGTGCTTTTAGCATCTACAATTAAACCTAAAACAAATGTCTTTCTTCGATGTAAAAGCAATGGAATGCCATTAATATCAGTCAACTTGCTCAGATAAGTAATCGTAGTGTTTAAAAAACATGGCATGGCATGGGTCTAGGAAAATATGGAGCAGTTGGTTGTTATATAAAAAAGTACTAACTATATTGTCTACATTGCCAAACTTACATTCAAATGGGACAATGGAATTTAAATTTGTACTAGTACCATCAAATGTAATACTTTTGATACAAAGTTCATATGTCAAAGCCACATCTAAAATATTTTTGATAAAACATGTTAAATCACTTGCTTTAACTTTATTTGATAAAACATAACCAATGGGTGTTTTCCAATGTCCTCGCAAACCAACTAACATGAAAATTAATGCCTCTGTAGCTGGAGTATCAGGTTCACATACAGAAATATCTTTACCAAAATCACAAAAACCAATATAGTGACCTGAACTTTTGTCATAAATTATACTGTTTTTGATTGCCATAGCATCAATAATAAGAGCACAATGCTTAAAATTAATATCTGTTTTCTGTTTATCACCAAGATATGAAAAAACATCAAGGAATAAACCGGGATCACAATTTACAGATGATGTCCAATGTGATATTGAACTGGCAGCAGGAAGACATAACATTGGCCGAAGAAAGTTATACGCACGTAGAGAATAAAAATGAAGAGTTAAAGCGAATTTTTTACTTCATCGTTGTATCTGTGACCTTTTAGGTTAATATTTTGATTGGAAAATTGGTTCTTAATAATTTCATATGAGAGTCCAGAAAAATTTTCGCTTAAAACAGTTCCAGCATCAGTAGTCAAATAATTTTTAGATTTTAAAAGGGAAACCATGTCTTGTAAAAAACAGATTTTCTTTTCTTTTCTTCTTAATTTTTGTTGTAAAACCTTAACTTTTTTTTTTAATTTTTCTTTTGCGGGTCTCCAACACAATCTGGAGACCAGCAAAAGAAAAATTTTAAAAAAAAGTTAAGGTTTTACAACAAAAATTAAGAAGAAAAGAAAATCTGTTCTTTTCTTTTTTTCTTAATTTTTGTTGTAATACAAAAATTAAGAAGAAAAGAAAATAAAATCTGTTCTTTTCTTTTCTTCTTAATTTTTGTTGTAATACAAAAATTAAGAAGAAAAGAAAAGAACAGATTTTGTACCAATCACACTAGTGAATCTCCAACACAATCTATAAAAGCTTTATGATTTTATAGATTGTGTTGGAGATTCACTGGTGTGGTCATTTTGATCAATAGTGCTTTCTGGCTGATCATTATGTGTTGAATTAATTTCTTTGCTGGGTTTGTCTATAGCAGGGCAAACATCAAACTTTGTTTTTTTCAAAAAAGGATCAAATTTAGATAATGAATTTACTGATGTTCGTATTGATGGGAGTTTCCTTTTTGTCTTTTGAATATTTGTAGAAAATACAAAAACTGATGGCACAGAATTACATTTTAAAATAGGCTTATGATAATGATCAAGAATTAGATTTTTATTGTCTGGGATACAGTAATTATAGTCTGATTCTAAAAAATGGTCGCTGCAGATACAGGTGTGTTTGGATGAATGAAAATTGGATGAAAGAAAAAGCAATAATCCATTTTTTACATAATTCAGAATTTTGAAGAGGAAATTTATGAAAGGATTTCTTGCCACCTTTTATATATCTATTAGAACATCCATATGCAGCACAAGAATTTACCATTTTGTGATGAAAATAGTTGAATTAAATAAATACTTCAGCAAGGTAAAAGAAATAATGTCGCGAATTTACTCTCTATATTATATATGATATTTACTGTTTTCTGCCCGATATAATAATGGCTGAATAAAATAGTAAACAAATAAATCGGCTTCACTTTTATTTTATAAAAATGCCGAAGTTAGACATGTAGTTATTTATTTACGTCATTGATTATGACTGTTAAAAAATCAAAATCTGCCATTTTTAAATACATTTCATACATTAGTTCCTATAACTTTTAAGTAAACACCACCAACTTTCAAATTTAATAATGTGCATTATATCTTTATGTTATTTACAACCTTTATTTTTTTTTTGTGTCTCTTTAAAAATTAAAGTAACCATATTTCCCAATAAATTATACAAGTTTTATGCAGATATATAAAATTTTTGCAAATTTACAAATAATAATTTGCAAAAATTTATTTACAAATAAATTATACAAATTAGTTTTACTTTTAAAATTACAATACAAAGGATATTATACAATTTTATACACATATATACAATTAAATTATACAACTAACTTTTTACTTTAAACTGCATAGCACATAAGGTACCCAGGTACCTTATGTGCTACCAGCTTAACACTAAGACGGTACCCAGCTTAACACTAAGGTGACGGTACCCAGCTTAACACGAAGGTATACTGAGCTTTGATGCAGATCAATATCAAGTATATACGCCTAAATTTTGACCCCCCAACCCCCACATTTTGCTATACACTTTTTTGAGTACCCTCCACCTCCCTAAAGGTACCTATGCTTTTAACCTACTTACCCAATATTTTATGAAATTTTTTTAAATTAGTGTCTGTAATTTTATAATTAATACTTTATGGACTAACTTCTCTAACAAGAAGACAGAAAGATTGTGCATTATTTTTAGAAGATTAGATTATTTAGAACATTTTAAAATAAATTATTAAAAGTACTTTATAATTTTTTGATAGCAAATTTTAGCTCTTAGCAAAGTTTTTAATTCTCAAAGAAAGTATTTCTTTGGAGTTGATAAAAACTTATAAAAATTTTATTTACAGTTTTAATAGTTCTTAATAAGTGTACCACATATCTTTAAGTTGACTTCTATAAAAGTTCATTAAATCTACTGCAAAGTCAATTCTAATATGCATTTTTAATTTTTAGCTGATAGTGTTTTCTTTGTTTAAATCATTTTTCAGTTCAAACTAATAATGTTGAATAGACATTTTATTAAAATCTAAAAAAAACTTTCTATAAATTACTAAATTTTTTAACTTGGAAAACATGGTAAATTTTTGCAACAGTTTTAATTAATAAAGTTTTTAATTAAAACAGTTTTAATTAAAAAAGGTTTAATTAAAACCTTATTCAAATTTACTTAACTTCAACCATTTAATACAATAAGAAATAATTACCATTGCTAATAATTTATAATTATTGTGATATTTTTGCTGTTCAGTTTTTAGTTATTTAGTTTAAGTGACTCTTTTTCTTTATAGTTTGAAGACATTTCTGAAGTGTGGCAGGAGTACATTAACTTATTAGCTTAAAGACATTTGTGAAGTGTGCCAGGATTACATTTGTGAATTGTTGTAGGAATACATTTGTGAGGTGTGGTATTAATATGAACTTCCTGGTTAAATGCACTTCCGTGGTGCTCTGTGACAAGACCTTCTTGGGGCACCTAATGAACAATTAAAAAAAAAAAACATTTTTGAAATGTGGTATGAGTACATTTGGGAAGTGTAGTAGGAGTACATTTGGGAAGTGTGATAGGAGTACATTTGTGAAGTGTAGTAGGAGTACATTTGGGAAGTGTGATAGGAGTACATTTGTGAAGTGTGGTAGGATTACATTAGTGAAGTGTAGTAGGAGTACATTTGTGAAGTGTGGTAGGATTACATTAGTGAAGTGTAGTAGGAGTACATTTGAGAAGTGTGATAGGAGTACATTTGTGAAGTGTAGTAGGAGTACATTTGCGAAGTGTGATAGGAGTACATTTGCGAAGTGTAGTAGGAGTACATTAGTGAAGTGTAGTAGGAGTACATTTGTGAAGTGTGATAGGAGTACATTTGTGAAGTGTGGTAGGAGTACATTTGTGAAGTGTGATAGGAGTACATTTGTGAAGTGTGGTAGGAGTACATTTGCGAAGTGTGGTAGGAGTACATTTGTGAAGTGTGATAGGAATACATTTGTGAAGTGTGGTAGGAGTACATTAGTGAAGTGTAGTAGGAGTACATTTGTGAAGTGTGGTAGGAGTACATTTGCGAAGTGTGGTAGGAGTACATTTGTGAAGTGTGATAGGAATACATTAGTGAAGCGTGGTAGGAGTACATTAGTGAAGTGTAGTAGGAGTACATTTGTGAAGTGTGATAGGAATACATTAGTGAAATGTGGTAGGAGTACATTTGTGAAGTGTGGTAGGAGTACATTTGCGAAGTGTGGTAGGAGTACATTTGTGAAGTGTGATAGGAATACATTAGTGAAGTGTGGTAGGAGTACATTAGTGAAGTGTAGTAGGAGTACATTTGTGAAGTGTGATAGGAATACATTAGTGAAGTGTGGTAGGAGTACATTTGTGAAGTGTGGTAGGAGTACATTTGCGAAGTGTGGTAGGAGTACATTTGTGAAGTGTGATAGGAATACATTAGTGAAGTGTGGTAGGAGTACATTAGTGAAGTGTAGTAGGAGTACATTTGTGAAGTGTGATAGGAGTACATTTGCGAAGTGTGGTAGGAGTACATTTGTGAAGTGTGATAGGAATACATTAGTGAAGTGTGGTAGGAGTACATTTGCGAAGTGTGGTAGGAGTACATTTGTGAAGTGTGATAGGAATACATTAGTGAAGTGTGGTAGGAGTACATTAGTGAAGTGTGGTAGGAGTACATTTGTGAAGTGTGGTAGGAGTACATTTGTGAAGTGTGGTAGGAATACATTTGTGAAGTGTGGTAGGAGTACATTTGTGAGCTGTGGTATAAAATTCTTTTAAACTTAAAAATGAAAGAATATTTTTTTACATTGAACATAGATAAATTAGTTTGAAATAAATGCTAATTAAAACAATTTCTGTAAAAAATAGTTTATAAATATTTTCAATAAACTAAATTTAAAAAACATTGACAATAACAGACAACAGACAAAAGTAAACAACAACAAAAAGAATGCAACAAAAACATGAAAAATATATTTTTTGTTTGTTTGTTTAAAAAAACATAAATAGTGAAAAAAACCTACTGGTCTTTAATATCTCCCCATGAATGCAACAGTTCAGTCAAGAATACATCTAATTCTTTTAGGGTCCAATTTGCTTGCTTGACTGGATCAGTCACCTGACAATGAATAAAATTGAAATTTTAAAATATAAATCATAAAAACAGAACAATTGTAAGAGAAACTTTTTTGCATTCTTTTGTGTTGCTAAAAGAAGCTGTATAAAATTTTGTATCATTTTTTTTTCTTCCTAAATCATAAACGTTTATTTTAATTTAATTTATAAACTTTAAAATAAGATTTAAAAACATTTTAAAATTAACAAAAAACATTATTATTATTAATAAAATATAAAATTTTCAGACAATAGTGTTTTCTTTTTGGTTTTAAAAACAATTAATGATACTGCAGAATAAGCATACAAAATTTAAAAGCAGTGTCACAATGAAAATAATACACTGACTATTTCAATCAAAGCATTTTTCTGAACCACCTTTGGTAACTGAACCACCTTTGGTAAATGAACCACCTTTGGTAAATTTACCAGTATATATTTATAACTTCTTCATAAAATTATTATTAAAAGTATGAAAAAAATTTATTAAAACTATGTATTAAGTACAAAGTATTACTAATTAAATCTTTTTATAATCTAACAATATAACAAATTATGTTACAAAAATTATTACAAAAATAAATAAGTTAAGTATAGTTTAATGGAGATATAAGCATAGTTTAATGGAGATAAATATAGATAAAAACTGGGTACCATACTAAATTATAGCTTTTTTAAATTAACCTTTGTTCAAAATGGCTGTTTTTTTTTCCAGAACAAAATCTGTTTCAAAATCTGTTTCTGGAAAATAAGCTTAGGGTAAACCAATCAACCCTGAAATATTTTAGGGTACTCAGAAATCCTGAGCCTTTCTTTACAGGGCAAAAAAATTCAATTTTTAAAATACTAAATAATTTAATATTAACTATTAATATATTAAAATGTTTATTTTGTATCAAGTAAAACTTTGTGTCAATTAAAATTTTGATTGAAGATATATATAATTTTGTCAATTTTTTTTATTGTTGTTGTTAGCAATGGCATTTTTGTTTGCAATCTTTTTTATTATTTGTAAAAATTTAAAAAGCAAACTTTTTAACAATATTTCTATAACCTTTACAATTTACTAATCATTTGTTGTAGTTAAACTTTTTTTATTTAATCTTTTGAAACTGTTGCAGCTGGGTAGAACTTAATAACATTTAAATGACACACTATACTAATAACAAAAATCTATCATCACAAGGAGAAACATGAGTCATACAACTAAAGAAAAAAATATATCTATATTTTTAAAAATGAACCTTTTCAACAAAATCATTGAAGAAATTTCTAAAGTCTTTGGTCTGAAAAAGATTTGCACCCAATGTAAACAAATTACGATAGACCAACTAAAAAGAAAAAATTAAAATTATTACTTATAAGAAGTTTTTAATTTAAGTTATAAAAAGAGCTAATGAAAACTATAAAATACAAAAAATTACCTATAAAAATCTATATAAAAAAATCGTCAAGATTATAAATAAAATTACGCGAAAAACAGCATCAATTCCTTTTGCAAAATGTGAAAAAGTGAGTTTTCTCTCAAGTCGTGCAAACAGATAGCTACATAAATGCAAACAAATAGCATACATACAACAAAACAAGTCATGAAATAGATAGCTACATATAACAAAACAAGTTGTGCAAACAGATAGCTACATGAAAACAAACAGATAGCTACATGAAAACAAACAGATAGCTACATGAAAACAAACAGATAGCTACATGAAAACAAACAGATAGCTACATGAAAACAAACAGATAGCTACATGAAAACAAACAGATAGCTACATGAAAACAAACAGATAGCTACATGAAAATTTTATATATTATTATAAAATTTTCATATTTTTCATATTTTTTTCTAACCCATCAAAACTTATTAGAACCCTCCCCTGGTTTCAAAAACTAATTGTTTAAACTAAGAAAGTTTTCTATTGTTTATCACTTTCAAAAAGATTTTTTTTTAAAAGACAAGTGCAACAGGAATTATTGGAAACATGTCAATGCTTTTGTTTTTTTATTATTTAAATTTGGCTTTTTTAGAAATAGATGAAAAAATCAGACCTTATAAAAAAAGAACTTTACTCCATTTGAAATGGATTTAACTGTTTAATCCATTATTGTTAAAAGTGAAAATACATAAAATTATTATTATAATTATTATATATTTATAATAATTATAATAATAATTTTATATTATTATATGCAATCCTTGCATATAATAATATAATAATTATATGCAAGTTCCTTGCATATAATTATTATATTATTATATGCAAGGAACCAATTCTACTAATAGTTAAAAAAGTCCATTCACACAACATTGTAGTTTCAATATTCATTAATTTATTAGCTCAACAGCATTTTCTGAAGTTATGTACCATTCCAAGAGTATAAATGTCTTCATTTGTAAGCATATTAGCATTCATGTAACAACTTTTTTCATTTGAACTGTCCATATTAAATTTTAACGAAAAACTTGTAAAATTTTTTTCTTCTTTCAATTCTACTACTACATGAGGAATAACACAGTAAAATAAACTTAATAGAACTTGGGTTAAAATGAGGATATTATGTATCTTTTAGAAAAAAAAAACTTCAGACAGTTTTTTACTTTTGGCAATGGTGAGAATAATTTGTTAGTATAGTAAAAATGCAGTTTTTTTTTAAATTCAATTATAAAACAAAATTATTTACACAAAAAAGTTCTCAAAAATCTCAAAAAAATATTCAAGGTTGTAAGAAATTTGATAAATATTTCTGGATTTTGAACTTTGTGTAAGCAATTTACTTTTATAATTGAATTTTAAACTTGTATGCATACTTTGATTGTCAACACTCCTACACACTAATAAAAACATTAAAATAATGAATTTTAAATTTTAAAAATGCAGAGATCCAAATAGATGTACAAAATGAATTTGAATCTGAATCCTAAACTATATCTGAATCAGACCTGGGATGTCTTAAAATAAATTTAAAGTTTACTCATCTGAGATGAGTACACTTTATGCCTACTGATATAGACTATTGAAATGTTAAATTTAGCTGCATACTAAATGAAATTATCACTTTTTGTATTTTAAATAATAGGTTATTTCAAAAATTAGGAGCATATACTAATAGATTATTATATAATATTGAATAAAAAACAAAAGACCTTCCACCTTTTATGTTGATCCATAAAGTCTTTTTCCAAAACCAAATTCCTCAGTTCTCTTAAATCCTCAAAAAAACTTCGATCAATATCATCAGCATCAAATAATTTATCTAGAAATATCATCAGCATCAAATAATTTATCTAGAAATATCATCAGCATCAAATAATTCATCTAAAAATATCATCAGCATCAAATAATTTATCTAAAAATATCATCAGCATCAAATAATTTATCTAAAAATATCATCAGCATCAAATAATTTATTTAAAAATACCAATAAATTTAATTTAAATTGTAAGTACTACTTATTTAAACAGAATAAACTTTATTATGCAATGTATAAATTAAAAAATAACAATACCTTATATAAACAAGTTAATGTTATTTTTTATACTTATTATTTGATTTATAAAACAGGCGCTATCCTACAAGACTTTGTTCTTCTGAACAAGCCATGCACCAACCACACGACTATACCGACTTCAAATATTTTTTCTGCAGTCATTCAAAAATTTTTTAAAAACAAAGCGTACTTTTATGACTTAACAAAATATTTTTTCCATTTTAATGTTTATCTAGATCATAATCAGAGTGATGCTTAACATCTTCTTTGTTATCTAATTTTAACATCTTCTTTGTTATCTAATTTATTTTTGTTTAAAAATTTGGTTAAAGGTTAGAAATTTTTTAAAAACATAATTTATTTATGTTAACAAATACATCTTCTTTGTTATCTAATTTTAACATCTTCTTTGTTATCTAATTTTAACATCTTCTTTGTTATCTAATTTTAACACCTTCTTTGTTATCTAATTTTAACATCTTCTTTGTTATCTAATTTTAACACCTTCTTTGTTATCTAATTTTAATATCTTCTTTGTTATCTAATTTTAACATCTTCTTTGTTATCTAATTTTAACACCTTCTTTGTTATCTAATTTTAACATCTTCTTTGTTATCTAATTTTAACACCTTCTTTGTTATCTAATTTTAACATCTTCTTTGTTATCTAATTTTAACATCTTCTTTGTTATCTAATTTTAACATCTTCTTTGTTATCTAATTTTAACATCTTCTTTGTTATCTAATTTTAACATCTTCTTTGTTATCTAATTTTAACATCTTCTTTGTTATCTAATTTTAACACCTTCTTTGTTATCTAATTTTAACATCTTCTTTGTTATCTAATTTTAACACCTTCTTTGTTATCTAATTTTAATATCTTCTTTGTTATCTAATTTTAACATCTTCTTTGTTATCTAATTTTAACATCTTCTTTGTTATCTAATTTTAACATCTTCTTTGTTATCTAATTTTAACATCTTCTTTGTTATCTAATTTTAACATCTTCTTTGTTATCTAATTTTAACATCTTCTTTGTTATCTAATTTTAACACCTTCTTTGTTATCTAATTTTAACATCTTCTTTGTTATCTAATTTTAACACCTTCTTTGTTATCTAATTTTAACACCTTCTTTGTTATCTAATTTAAACACCTTCTTTGTTATCTAACTTTAACATCTTTTTTATTTAATTTTAACACATTTTTTGTTATCTAATTTTAGCACCTTTGTTATCTAATTTAGTACACACAAATGGAGAAAATATGTTTGAGCTAAAAAATGCGCTGTTTACGGCTAAACTTATCATTAATCCTATGAAATGGAAGAAAATATGTTTTGACTATGATATTAAACATTTTTTTCTGTGAAAAAAATGTTTTTATGGCCAGGAGAAGCTCTCCTGCCAAATTTAAAAAATTGATTTTAACAATATATATATATATATATATATATATATATATATATATATATATATATATATATATATATATATATATATATATATATATATATATATATATATCAACCCTCGGAATTAGGAAAAATGAGTTCGGCAATAATTTGCCGACCTCAATCATTTTTGCTTATTTTTGTTCAAAAAAACTGCACAAAGTTTGTGCAGTTTTTTGGAACAAAAATAAGCAAAATACCAAAGAACAACAGACCGATATAAAAGTAACAACTCAGATAATTGAGGGTAGAAATTACATTATTTATTGATGGGATTTTATTAGCCTTTTCTATTCAGTCAATTCCATCAAAAACTTAGTTATAACATGTTTAGTAAATAATTAGAAATCTTAAGAAATAAAAATCATTAGTTATTTTGTGTTTATATAAAAGTTATTAATTTATGCCAAAAATTTCTCAGATAACATAGTACAGCTGGTGGAGCAGAAGAAGCAATGACAAGAGCAAGTTATGTAAAGAAAGATGACACAAAAATGCTTCAGTAATAGAAAAATGTTCCAGCCCAAACCAAAAAACAACAATGTTAAAACAATGCTGATAATGATTTATATTAACATATATGAATTTAGTTACAAATGAAACATAGACAAATATTGAAAAATTTTTTTTATTAACTAAAGCTCATTCATACAATATGTAAGACACTCTCTTCAAGTTTTCTTACTACCACTACCATTTTCTACTGAGGCTGGTACCTCTTTACATGCTGATACCTAAATTACTTTAATCTTTTCTAACAAATACTGTTTGATACAATGTTTTTTAGAATCTGTTTAAGGTTATGCCCACTTGCTTGAGTCACACCACACACCTATCTGATGGTCTTCTTATTTGGCAAATACTAATACTATCCATACAAATGCTTAAGTTTATATAACAATAATATTGTATAACATCATAACAAAGTCTTCTATAACAAAGTATCTTGGACTTAAACTTTTTAAAATAATACTGCTATCAAAACAAGTATCTTGGGCTTAAATTGCATTTTAAATTATTTTTACATTTTCCAGACAAGCTTTAATAATATCTGAGTAGAATCAATTGTTATCGGCAAGCATACTGTCGATTAAAATGAAAAAAACATTTATCATCTAAAAATAAAGAACAATTTTTATGTTTTTCACAAAGTTTTTAGCACTTGATTGCATTTGTTTAATTGTGAAGCGATTCTTATATGTTTTAAGAAGTTTTTATGTTAATGCATTTTTAATCGCTCTTCTGAAACGTAAAAAACCTTTTTATAGCCATATGTTTTTAACTTTTTCCACCGGTATGATTTAAATATTTTTAAAATGGCAGATGTTACTTTTATTAGCTTTTTTTATAAGACGATTGCTTCCAATTTGTAACATTTGTATTGTGAAATATTTCACTTAAATAAAAGATAAAAAAACAAAAACAATACTAATTTAAAACCTCCTGACAAAGTAGAATCTGTTGTCCATTGCTCAATAATATGCTCTGTGCAGATAATAATGTCATCATATGATAAATACTGTAACCTGAAAAATTTTTTTTACATTTATTTATTTATTTTTGTTAATGGTAACTTTTTATTTAATAATAATTACTAATTTTTTTTTACCAAAAGCTTTGATAACAATAAGAAAAACAAAATTCATTTAAGAAATAAATAGTTCCTAAATTTTAAATTAAAATAACCTTTTCTTGGAGGTTTCAAACCGAAATATAAACACATATATCAATGGGATATATTTTCTAAAATCAGAACAATCTTAAATTAACATATGCAAATATATTTAATATATTTTAATTTATGCAAATATATTTTAATTAAACAAGTGCAAATTGTAAGCAAAAACGCACTTCACAAGAATGTCGGAGAAATGAAACAGTGTTGTAAGAACACCTTTAATATTGCCTTCAACATCATCGAAAGTTTTCAAAATGTTCTTGATATTGTCAAACTAAACAAAATTTTTGTAATATATAATGGTCTGTGATGATATAAAGGTTTGCAACTTATGCAAAAATGACTAATACAGACCAATAATAATTTTTCATTAAACTTTAAGAATCTAATGCTATATCATGGAAAAATTATGCAAAAGTTTTCTACTACTAGATAAAACGCTTTTATTTTTTGGCAAGCACTTTTTTATGTACTCACCAAATTTTTTGATGACTGTATTAAGTAATAAATGATAACTATTAAAAAATTACTGTATAATATAATACAATGAATTTTTTGTTAATGCTAAGTAAAATTTATAGATACATACAATCCACTACTGCAGATATAAGTTGGCACTGCGCTAATATATTCTAATCACTTATTTTTTTAAATGCAAACTTAGATCCAGATATTTTTTCATAAAAAGTGGAAAGTAGATACATATTGCCTACCCAAACCCTTATTTGTTGTATGAGTTAAACACCCCTGAATGTCTACTTTAGAAAAAAAAACAACCATCATATCTAATTTTTTTTGCCAATCTCTATAAGATTAAGGTTGACAAATTATTGCCGACCTCATTTTTTCTAATTTTGAGGACCATATATATAAATATAAATATAAATCTATATCTATATCTATATCTATATCTATATCTATATCTATATCTATATCTATATCTATATCTATATCTATATATATATATATATATATATATATATATATATATATATATATATATATATATATATATATATATATATATATATATATATATATATATATATATATATATATATATATATATATATATAGTACTAAAAGTTTCATAAGAATTTCTTGAGTTTTAGAAGATAAAAAGAGAGAAAAAGTTAATAAAACTTGAATATGTAAATACAATGACTTGAACTTGAACAAAACTTGAACATGTAAAATACAATGTTTTTTTAGTTATTCAACTAAAATTGTTTGAATTCCATCAATATCATTCAATGTAATTATATATTATAATAATCCTCAGATTTTTCTTACAAAGTAGAACACAATGTTCTTATAACTATATCATTTGTAACATCCATGAATCTTCCGATTAACCATAAAATTATCAAAAACCCTGTCTTTAGGGTCATCTAATTGTTTCAATATATCTATATCAAACTCTGCTGGCTCTGACCCTTCTTCTGGTAACATGTTTTCAGTCTCTGTGGCAGGTATTGGTAGAGCACATAGCTTATAACCTGTTTGATCTGCCATAATCAAACATCTGGTTTTTGCAAAACTTCTCTATCTAGTTAGCTGATATTTTTCACCCATCTTTTGGTGATAAGCTTTTAATTGATAATACACATTGATGTTTTTGTGGGAAGATTCGTTCTTTCTAGGGCTGATTCCTTTTCCTTTTTTACAAAAAAATACAACCAACTGAACTTTGCTCTCAAAATACAAACTTGAAGAACACATTCTTGTTTGCTTAGACTTGAAGAACACATTCTTGTTTGCTTAGACTTGAAGAACACATTCTTGTTTGCTTAGACTTGGTTTATCCAAGTTCTATAATCTTTGCAATCAGTTTCTTGTATGTTTTTTGTTTATATTTTTTTCTGATCCACAATGAATGGCATGGATACTTGATCAATGTTGAATTGCTGGCTAGATACAAATCATTGCAATTTGAAATTATATGATGATTTTTTGGATATCAAATTTTATCAAATCTGGCAAGTATTTGCTTCAGTATTAACTTGATTTATGAAAACAGTTAGTATTGCTTTAAAAATTAACATATATATTAAAAAAATTGACATATATATTAGGCAACAAGTTTTATGTATTTTACAATCTGCATATCAATTAAATTTCTTCATACAAATATGCCAAACTTACCTTCTTCAGACATCCATTACATTCAAATATGCCAAACTTACATAGCAGAAATACTAAAAAAAGTTTAGATGTTTGATATTTTTACTGAAATTATATTTAAATAAAGCTGTAAGTTTTTCACACTTTTCCACGACTGAATGATATTGCAAAATATAATGTTTATATTTGTTTATGTGTACTTTAGCAATATATTTATAATATACATTTTTCATTTGTAATCAATTGGAATTCCATTCTACTGCATATGAAAATTAAATACTCATTTAAACTGTTATTTGAAAATGTTACTCATTGCAAATAATGCTTTTTAATTTAGTGTTATGTTGATGTGATATGTAGGTGTGATATGTAGGTGAAAAATTAGAAAATACTATGTTTCTTATTGGAAAGTGACTTTGTACTAAACATTTCAAAAGTTTTTTGAGCTTCTAGAATTAGTTTCTTATAAACAAGTTTCTTATAAAAAAAACTGTGTGTATATAGATTGGGTTGTCCAAAAAGCCATGAGTAACTTTTCTAAAAACTTCTAGAATGTTCTGAAAATAAGAAGTTTTTATGATTTGAGTATAGAGCATGAAACGACCAATTAGACATAATGAATGGGTCAATTAATATGGATAACATTAAAGACCATAACAATGCTAAATGAGCTTCAGCGTGGGCACTAAGCAGCCTAAGCCACATGGAATATATGCAATCAGATAGGTCAGGGTTCAGTGTCTGAGGCAACAGCAAAGCATTGGTTTTAACGTTTTCATCAAGACAACTTAACACTGCAAGAACAACTCAGTGATAGTATTATAGAATACCATTTCACGAAATGAAAGCTCAGTTTTCAGAAAAAACTGTACACTAGTTAGCTAAGTCATAAAAAAAACTGTACACTAGTTAGCTAAGTCATACATAGATTTAAATTTAGCATTTGACATATTGATGCATATTGATAAAATAAACTTAGAAAAAGAAAAGAAAAAGCATCAAAATTGTTATAAAAAAATGATTTAAAAAAGAAAAAGATAAAATATTTGTAAATATAAATCAAGATATTGTGAAAGTATGAAAGGTACAATAAAAGATATAAAAACTAGAAAAGTAATTTTGCTAGGAAGTGTTCAATACATTGACATTGATAAAATTTTGCAGAACATAGAAATTCTATTAAAAAACTAAATAAGAAATAAAATAAAACAATCAGATATTTTTGTTCGAAAAGCATTGGTAACACTTTTGCATCACATTCAGATTGAGTTCTACTGCACTGAATTCAACATTTGTATATTAATTTCAGAAGAATTGGTTTTTTTTTCTCTAAGCAATGCATTTTAAGATTAATGGAGTATGTTATTTGTTTTGCTTTTAATATAAATCATAAACAATGGATGGCTAAAAGTTGTTTGGGCCTCAATAGCATAGTTTAGCCTGGATAGTTTGTCATTATTATATTTAAGAATCCTAATTGCACAGTTTAGACTGGACAGGTTGTCATTATTGTGTTTGTGAACCAAAATTGCACAGTTTATCCTGGACAGTTTATCATCAATGTGTTTGTGAATTGTGTAAAAGGAGCTAATATTAAAACAAAACATAGACAAAATTATATGTAAAGATTTTATGTTTCACAATTTATTATAGCACATGTCCAAGCAATTGGACCTTTGTTAAATCATAAATCCATTTGTTAAATAATTTTTTTTTTGAATTTTATTTCATACCAGAGGCTATAATCATTATCTATATGAATATTTTTATGGTATGGTATGGTAATGAAAGATTTTTGACATATTTTTATAAAAACTTCCTAATTCCAAAAAATAAAATAGTTCAATCAAATTGAATATTATTTCAATTATCTTTCTTTTAGTCTTTATTCATTTAATCACTTAAGTCAAAAACCTTTTTTTCTACACAAGCATTAAATATTGATACCTGTCTCTGGCAACTTTTGAGAGATACTTGTGTTTTTTCACTGACTTCATCCATATCTTTCCTTAGCTTTGAGTTCATTTTCTTGCCAAGAATTTCTCGTATCACAGGCTTGTCAAACTCATAATAACTTAAATGAAAAAAAAAGCATTTACTTTTGGATTAACATGACACATAGTAGATGTTTCTCCCAGGTTTAATACACTAATAAAAATGGTCTACATGACATTTATGACACATATTATAAATGAGGAATCTACAGATTTATTAATGCACCAGTAGAATAGTTTACGAATGGAAACAGTTGATACTTGTGATTAAGCAGGAGAGTTTGCTCTGCGCACGCAAACAGAATATTTAAGATGGGAAGTCTCTCCCGAGGTACTCATGCATAAAAATTAAAAAAATTCACAAAAAATCTAAATTTATAGGTTTATTCACATTCATTTATTATTGAAAGTTTTAACAAATTTAAAAACCAAAATTATATTTTAAAACTGCATGAACAACAGCAATAAAAAAAAACTTTGAAGAACAAACCTTGAAACTAGCTTGTCTTTAGTCTCTGGTGAAAGAGCAGCAAAGTTTGGTGCTTTTAATAACTGAGGAGAAAATAAATATTGCTGGAGATAAGAGAACAATACATATTGTTCTTTCACTTCTTGTAATAAAACAGCTGTTGACATGTTTCCAAGACATGGTTGAAGAGATGAACTAAGTACTTTTGCAGCATCAATATCTAAAATCATACTTAATTTCTACACTATGGTTAAATAAACAGTTTAAACATAGTCAAACATTGTTGAACACAATCAAAATTCACAAGGTCTTTTTGCTCTTTGTAAGATTATTTTCAACTCAGCTGTTTCATCTTTAGGTCTTAAAGCTTTTTTTTTTGTTATTCACCTCCTCAAGGCCGAGAAGGTCACTACAGACGAGGAGGCTACTTAATAGTGGTTATAACCCTCTCTCAACTCTATAACTCCGAAACACGAACCTTGACGAACAAGGCCGCTGCGCTGAGAAACAAGTTGAGCTAATGATCTTTTAAATGATGAAGACTCCAGAAAAAAAATCTTTGAATGATGAAGACTCCAATTGTCACATGCCTGGCTTGGATATAAATTGCATATTAATTCAACTATTTATTTTATAATCAGGTTTAAATTCTCTGACTATTTATTTATGTACTTTCACTACTCTATTTATTTATGTACTTTCACTACTCTTAACTCAATTAGCTTTCTTTTTGTTTGACTGTTTGTCCAATATTTTTTTCTTTATTATTAATATTGTTGTTGTTATTGATGAATTCAATGCTCATAACTCTGACTGGCTCTAGTACCACCGACCCTACTGGCTCTAATGCACATAGCTTTTGCATTTCTTACACACACTCCTTGATTTAAGTCTTGTTTATGACCCTAGTTTGTAGCTGGATGCAGTTAACAACTGTTCAAGATGATGAACAGATGCTAACTGCATCCAGCTACATTTCTGGGATGCTAGTCTTCTCCATAAGCTTGCTTTATATGGACAACAGTATCCTACATTTCCAGTAACTTCTGGCATACCACAAAATTCTATCCTTGGTCATGTGCTGTTCCTTATCTATATTATTGATCTTAATGAATAACCTCTAAAGTGGATTATTTTTTTTTAAAATCAAATTCACCTCCCCAAAGCTCCAGAGGGAAGCATTGCAAGAAGTGAATTTAAGAAAAATAACCTAAAAAGCAGAGGCTACATGCTTTTTATTTTTTGTTTCTTGTAATGAGGCCCTTTCTTTCAGTCAAGGTCCAAAAACACATTGTAAATGTTCAGATTGTAAATTGCTCTAGCTGCTTTAGCAGTTTTTTAGGTCTGTCATTTACTTTCTTGCTTATTAATACTTGTTAAAAGTGAATTTTTTTAAAAATCAAATACACAGTTCATTCAAGATCTAGCAACCAACTCTGTTGTAACTCATTTATAAACATAGATGACATTTTTTAAATTCCATTATGACTATTATGATTAAAGATATTTTTTCCCTATGTAGGAGAATCTTAGCTTGTTTTACTTCTAAAATTAACTCTGCAAAATTTTGTGTAACCTTTTCAATGTTTATATATTTCATATGTTTCTGTAATCTTTGCAATGTTATTGTCATTTATAAAATATCTTCCACTCATTGATGTAATGGAAAATGCAAGAGAAGCACACAAAACAAAAAAAAAATTGTTTAACTTACCATCTGCCCCTGAAAGCCATTCAGTAAATAATAACATGTCAACACAAAGCGGGCTGGTAAAGCACACAGAGAACTCATCCATTTTTAAAATAAATATTCTGCCATCGATATAAAATCTGTTTTGTGGTAAGCTAAAAAATTATATATATATATATATATATATATATATATATATATATATATATATATATATATATATATATATATATATATATATATATATATACATATATATATATATACCACCCTCGGAATTAGGGTCGACATTCGGCAATGCCGATCTGAAAGTGTTTGAGGTTGGCAAAAAATTGCCAACCTCATTTTTATGTTTTATGGTCAGACTTTTGTATCAAATAATTTTTGTCGACCTGATGCCGACCTCAAAAAGATTGAGGTCAGCAAATTATTGCCGACCTCATTTTTTTATATATATGTATATATATATATATATACATATATCGATGATTAAGAGCACAAAGGGTATATGTCCAACATTTTACGGTTTTGAGTTAGTGCACAGATATTGTATTAAAGTATGTAAAAGAAATGAAAATAATAGTAAAAAACAAGACAGAATTAATTGAGGAATGCATTTGGTTAAAAATCATGGCAATAAATAAATATCATGAGTTTAATTAGTTTAAGTTTTATAAATGTATGTTTTCAAACTTTCAAACTCAGATTTCTCAAAACAATGGTTAATGGACGTATTCCCTTTGTGCTCTTAACCACCGATATATATATATATATATATATATATATATATATATATATATATATATATATATATATATATATATATATATATATATATATATATATATATATATATATATATATATATATTAGGGGTAGTCAATTTGATTCTTAAATAACATACACTCTAGATTTGGGGCAAATGTTAAAAAAACAACTCCCGAAAAATTTGAGCTCGACAGGTCCACTTAATCCTTACCCCCTAATTTGCCGATTTCACAGGTCCAGGGGGAAGTTTCACTACAAAAATTTTTTTTTTTTTTGGGTTTTTTTTTTTTACCTATATATTTTAGTAAAAATATATGGTATCATGGTTTTTTTCAAAAAACATTTTTATTTTTGTATTTTGAATTGAAAAAATTACAATATATGAAAATATACTTACCGCATTTATGTTTCTAAGAAAAGAGTTTTATTAATTGTCCAGAATATTTACATTTAACTTTTTTCATTAATAATGTAAATCTACAATAAACTTTAGTAATTTCTATGAGGTGTGAAATTGACAAGATTTAATTATAGTGGCTCAAAAAACAATTCAATGGTTCTATTTGTTGTAGTAGTAAAATATTTTACAATAATTATTTTAAATTCGACTTTTTAAATTAGTAAAAATTATATTAATTTAAATATGTATGAAGAAGAAGAACGTGGTCAGAAAACAGAAAGTGAAAGAACACTAAAATCTAAAAAAAAAAACTATTCATTATTGAAGAAGCAAAACCAGCAATAAAAGGTAATAACTAGTTTTATAATGAATCCCTTGAGCTAAAAACTTTAGCTAAACTTTTTATTTCTTCTTTTTTGTAATTAAGGTTGTCAGCTTCCAACAGAGATGGAGATACTGTTGTACTTAGCTTACATACAATCATTTTTGCCTAGAACATCAAAAAAAGCCACTATTCTTGATTGTCCTCCTCAAAAGAAATTTCAAAGATGTGCAATAGAAAGTAAGTATGAATGTATTTTGGCCAAGGTAAAAGAGCCATGGATTGAAGCTGGATTTTCTATACTAAACGATCAAAGTCTAGTGAAAAATCTTTCAAATCTGGACAATGTATATTCAAAACTTAAGAAGCATGAAAAAAGAGGATCTGCTGCATATTTGGCACAGCAACAAGAGTTTAAAATTTACCTGAATAAAATATTTTGGGCTGGCATTCCTGATCTTAGAAATACAATTAAAAATTACAAAAAAAGATCTGATTCAGACAAGCTTGAGGATTTGGAGTTTCTGGAGGACCAAGAAAGGGAAAGAAAATTTATGCTTGGATCAGAGGATAAAAAGTACAAAAAAAAAAAAAATTTGCAAGGTTTTCTAAGCAACCTACATACAATTTGCCACTTTAAAAGATTTAAAATAAAAACAACTAAACAAAAATAACAATGGTCACTCACTATTTCAATTTCTCATATAACTAAATTAAGTTATTAATTATTAAATCCTTTTGATATTTTTAGGCAACAGTGAGTAGCAGAAAGAGAAAGCATTGTGTGAAACAACAATATAAAGAATTAGATGGGCAACTAATGTTAAGATTGATACAGATACTAGTGAGGACTCCTTGTATGATTCTGATTTTAATCCTGGAGAGTGGTTTGAAAGAAAACCTTTTCAACAAAAAGTCACTGCTGAAATTCCCATAGATATTTTTGCTAGTAATGTAGCTCTTATGGCTACAATCAGTAACATTTCTCCAAGTGTTTTGCATAAAGTTACAGATACAATTCTAACTCAATCAGGAGCTGATCTGACAGATTTTAAATATAGCCAGTCTACAGCAGCTAGAAAAATGAAATATGCCATTCGTAATATCTGCATAATATCAAAAGAAGATGTTTAACAAGCAATGAATGAATCCCCATACCAATGCATAGTACATTTTGATGGTAAAACATTAAATGAACTAAATAAAGGAAAAACAATTAAAACTGATAGACTGGCTGTTCTTGTAAACATTGAAGGTAAGACACACCTGCTTGGAGTACCTCCTTTAGTGTCATCCTCTGGTGAAGATCAGTGCAATGGTGAAATGGACCTTCTTGAGGAGTACAATCTTAAAGCCAAAGTAGGAGGAATATGTTTTGATACTACTGCAAGTAACACTGGGTTAAAGAAAGGTTCTTTAATAAGAGTATCCAATAATATAGGCAAATATCTTTTACTTATTGTATGCAGACATCATGTATGTGAATTAAGAATGGTTCATTTTTGTAATTTAGTTTCAGATGAACATTCCACGGGACCAGATAATCCTATGTTTAAAAAATTAAAAACTGTTTTTGAATGTCCTCATTTTAATTACAATCAAACAGAACTAATAAAATTTGATTGGAAAGCAGTAAAGGGAATCTTTCTTAAGAAAGCTGCACAAGAGTCTTTAAACTTTTGTCAAGAATACATCACAAAGGGAAAATAAAATAAAGATTTTTTCAGAGAAGATAGAAAAGAGCTTCCAGAACTTGTTGTGAGTTAACTTTCTCTGTTTTCAGTAAAACTAAGAAAACCCGGAGCAGTTTATCATGCTAGGTTCCTATCTAAAGCACTTTACTACCTAAAGCTACAGCTTCTATTCAGCCAAATTGAGTTCATAAATCAGAAAATAAACTCAAGACAGAAATCAGGCTAATAAGTGAACTTACAGTTTGCTTTTATGCCAAATGGTATTTACTGGCTAATGACACTATTAGAGCTCCCTTTCTTGATATAAAAGCAATACACCAAAAGCAACAGTATCGAAAACTTTGTGCAAAACCAGACTGTTGATGCAGTTTTAAACTGTCTATACAAACATAGTTGGTATTTAAATTCAACAATGATTCCTCTTGCTCTGTTGGATGATTTGTCATTTGAAGAGAAAGCAAACCTTGCAAAAGTAATTCTAACTTTTAAAATTCTGATATCAACTTGGTACAATACTAAAAACAAATCAAAAATAGATATAAAAGATAAAACAAAAATTGGAAATGAAGTTAGTGAAAATCCTTCTTCCCTTGCTCTCTTGGTTGATGAATTATGTTTAATAGAATTGGATTAGAGGAACAAAGGATAAAAGTTTGGCTTTCGCTTCCCCCTAAGTATTGGTTTACTCAATCTCTTTTTAAAAACTTTCAAAACTATGCCAAATCTTTAATTGTGGTAAATGATCATTCAGAAAGATCTGTTGGAATGATGCAGCAATTTATTCATCGATACAACAATGAGGAAGATAAACAGAATACATTGCTAACTGTTGAAAAAGTTCGGTGTGCTTTCAGAACACCTGGAAGACGTTCAAACAAACTTTCTGAAAGTAAATTTATTGAAAGCTTATCTTTTCTTGATAAAAAGAAGAAAAGTGGTGAAAATAAACATAAACACAACTGAAATTATTTGCTCTTGAAATTTAATATAATAACATGAAACTATCATCAAATGTTATAATTCAAAATACAAAAATAAAAATATTTTTTGAAAAAAATTACGATACCATGTATTTTTACTCAAATATATAGGTAAAATAAACAATACAAAAAAAAAAAAAAAATTCAAATTTTTTTAGTTAAACTTTCCCCTGGACCTGTGAATTTGGCAAATTTTGAGAATTTTTTTTCTAAAAAAGTGCTTAGGGGGTAAGGATTGAGTGGTCCTGTTGAGCTCTAATTTTTTGGGAGTTGTTTTTTTAACATTTGCCCCAAATCTAGAGTGTATTGTATTTTAGAATCGAAAATTTTCTCAAATTGACTACCCCTATTATATTATATATATATATATATATATATATATATATATATATATATATATATATATATATATATATATATTATATATATATATATATTATATATATATATATTTTATATATATATATATATATATATATATATATATATATATATATATATATATATATATATATATATATCCAGAATTTTTAAAAATAGGGATAACAGATGCTGTTTTCCAACAGGCTGGAAAACAAGACTCTGATAAGCACTTGTTAAATAGTTTTGAAAGAATAGATAACAGCTCCGGAGAACACTTCTGCAAAACTACAACAGGTATGTTGTCCGGGCCACAAGCTGTAGAAGAGTCTAAGCAGGAAATCACTTTAGATACAGAAGCTAGAGTGATGCAGATGTCGAGCAATGGATCAACCTGTTTGACGGCTATATCAGGTAGAACGTAACTAGTGGAATCAAGAGATGATATTGATGAAAAATTCTTAGCAAACAATTCAGCTTTATCTTTAGGTGAGGTGACAAAGTCTGAACCATACAAAAGAGGTGGAATTACAGACTTGCCCTTATTATTGATACTATTAAAGATTCTCCAGAAGTCACGAGAACCTAATTTTTGTGATGAAATACAAGATTCATGATCTGAGAATAGCGGGCTTTGGCGTTAGACAAAACCTTTTAACAATGGTTCCTAGCAGTAATAAACAGACGTCTGTTTTCTGGAGAATTGTTTTGCTGACTGATATGGAAGTAATGGTTTCGATTGGCAATTGCAGCAGCACAATGTGAGGAAAACCATGGAGAAGAGGGAGGCTTGACCTGGAATATCATATCTTAAGGCATATATTATTCATTCTAACTCATTGGCTCTCTCCTACAGTGGTTCTTCAGGCTAGTCAGAAAAAGCATTGTCTTGATGATGCTGTTGTATATAGTATTATGTCGCTTACTATCTGTTATATTATGTTGAATCATTGTTGATTGCTACATTGTATTCAGTTATTATGGTGTAAACTTAGAGAAATTTGAAGAAAACGTTTTTTTTAACATTTTTAACTTATAAAATAAGACAAGAAAAACTACACTTTTAAACAAATGCAAAATATAAGATTATCTATTTTTGTTATAAGAATTTTCTTTTCAAGTAAAACATCATGCAATGTTTTTTAGCAGTTTTCTTGCAAATAAAATGCATATGCAGTTAGAAGAAAAAAAATAAAGGAAAAATTTTAAGGAATTTGAAATTTAAAAAAAATATAACTTTTTAAGCACACATTTCGGTTCACCATAAACTAAGAATGTCAGTCAAACCAACAATGTCAGTCAAGACAATGTTTTTCCCCAGATGATTGTTTAGAGATTTAAATATGGATGACTTCAATTTCTTTCCTTATATATATATATATATATATATATATATATATATATATATATATATATATATATATATATATATATATATATATATATATATATATATATATATATATATATATATATATATTTAAACAATTTAAAATGTATTCTACAAAAAGAGTGCTCAACATTCTTAAAAGAACAGAGCAATTACAAATTTATATATATATATATATATATATATATATATATATATATATATATATATATATATATATATATATATATATATATATATATATATATATATATATATATATATATATATATATATAGAGAGAGAGAGAGAGAGAGAGAGAGAGATCTTTATATTTTATATATATATATATATATATATATATATATATATATATATATATATATATATAAAGATATTATATATATATACACAAAGGTTTTATCATAACATGAAAACCAGGTAGTCAAAATATGGGTGACCACAGATTGACTTTTAGGTCAACAACTGACTCTAAATCCAACCTCTCTCTCTCATAAATAATAAAGGCAAATACTTCAAATCTTTGATCAAATAAAAGTTTTTAACATCTTATTCTTTTGGTCATTTAATTCATTATTTAATTTCTGGATACTCTTAAGTAAATCCAAACTACATAAGTATTTAATTCGGACTTACTTAGGAGTATCTAGTTAGGATTTAATTAGGAGTATCTAGTTTTACTTAGTAGGACTTGTAGGATTTACTTATGAGTATCTAGTTTTACTTAGGAGTATCTAGTTTTACTTAGTAGGAGTTTCATTTGTAGGATTTACTTAGGAGTACTCCTAAATAAATCCTAACTAGATACTCCTAAGTAAAGCATTTGAAAAAAAAATTAACAAAATTATATTTTAATTTTCATATAACAAAAATTTATGTTTTGCTTCCTTTAGTAATATATGTTTCCCACCAATTTTCAGTACAATTATTTGGCTCAATAACATCACAACCTTCGATTAAATTCTCAAATGCAACATTTTCAAACTTTAAAACATTTCCATTAACACAGTTAGATTCAAGAGCAACAGAAACAACATGTTGCTCATCTATCATGGTTTCATAGAATGTCCATGGTTGTTTTTCATCTTTAATGTACAATTCACTATCAAAACATGCCGATTTTAAAACAGTTGTGTTTGCTTTAAATTTTATAGATGAAGCTGAATCAGTGCCAATGCCTGTACCAATTGCTTTGACATAACTTTCCTTTAAACACCATAAACGGTAAAACGTTGTTAACTGGTCCCATTCATTTTTGAAACTTTTAATAAAACTCCATTCTTCGTCTGCAAATTGTCGCTTCATAAGTTTAAAAAATGAAAATATATCAGTGTTGTTAGGATAGGAATACTTCATAATATCTACACCAATGTTAGAACAAGTGCTAGCAGCAAGTACTGTAAAATCCCCATGATGAGAAATGTTAAAAAAAAATTTTTTACCATTAGTATTATTGACTAAAAAAGGTTTTCCTTTTATACTACGACTTAATACTATATCTTTCCATGGTATCCCCAGTACCATTTTTATGCATTGACGAATCATTAACCGACCTATCAGACAAAGTTTGTAATCACCCTTGAAATAAAACTTCTGTATTCGCTCTTGCTCTTCTAATGTTAATGCTGATAAAGCAGTAATCAGCTGATACTTTGTTGGATTCCAAGACAAAGCATTAAATACCCAACGAATCTCACATGGTGTCATACTAAACAATAATATATATATATATATATATATATATATATATATATATATATATATATATATATATATATATATATATATATATATATATATATATATTATAATTAAATTTATAATATTATATTATAATTTATTATAAACAAAACGATAGAATAATTGTAACTTGGTAAAAACTATAAAATGTAAATATTTTCAATATATTCTTATTAATTTTTTTATTTAATGTAATTGTTAAACAATACACAAAAAAAGTCCAATATTTTATCAAACCTTTATGAGTGCTTTGCTTTGTAACTCTCAAAAAAAGTGTACAGTTGGTACAAGGAATATCAATAATACCATATATATCTGATTCAAGAACAGTATACAAACCACCACATCGACAATCAAGAAAAAATTCTCCAGTTACTAAAAAAATAAGAAAAGTTTTTTGTTCTTTTACTTTTAATTTGTAAAAATATGTATTACTATTGCTTTAAAAAGTTATAAGAAAAAACAGCAACCTTCTTTTGTGTTCTACTTTTTTTTAATAACTTATAAGCAACTACCTTCATTAACATTCAAGTCATCATCATAAACTTTGTCAAACAAAATCTTTTGAGAATTTTGCAAACGATTTTCTAAAATTAAATATTTAGTAACTCACTTTCTTAAAAAAACTTAATAAAAAATTTTTTATAAAAACTTTTTAAAAAAATAAAATTTCTTCTAAAAATAGTAATGACACTTTATTATTTAAGAGCACCTTTTAGAGTTTTATTGTATTTTGCCCTACAATGAGGATCCAATAATATTTCTCTTGCTTTTTGAACTTTAATAAAAAGAGTTGTGTCAACAGAATCTTTATTTTTATCAGGGTGAGTCTAAAAGTTTAATAATATATATTCTTGATAATTATTAATAATTAATAAAAATAATTATTTGAACTTTTCAAATGATAAATGTGCAAAAAAAAAAAAAAAACCTGCAATAAAAGTTGCTGACAATGTCTCTTTATTTCCTCAACAGAAGCTTCCTCAGAAAGATTCAAAAGTTCATACAAATTTTCCATCAATTTTTTAAACATACAATAATGTTTATATTTGCCATTTAAATTACCCTGAATTATACAAAATATAACATACAATACAATATAATAAAATATCAAAACTGTTGAAAAAATACTGCAACTAAAGTAATGAAACTAACAAAAAAGAATTATGAATATGTAAATGTATTTAATGAGTTTGCAAATTACAACCATTTTTGTAACAAAAATAAATAAAAAAGTTACAAAAAGTCATTTTCAAGGTATTGAAAATTAAACATTTAAAAGTTAATACATTTTAAGAATTTTTGATAACTTAGAACTTTTGAATACAAGATCACTAGAAAAAATATCTAAAAAAATTATTCCAAAAAAACTCCTCTAAACAATATAGAATTAATTAAATCAAATATATTATGTAAAACCTATTTTCTAACCAATAAAAAAAGATAGTAAAAAATAAACTTATTACATTATTAAATAAAAATAATATGACAAAATTTCAGGTTTTGTCACTTATAGCTTCATCTTTAAGTTACAATTTCATGACTATTTCACGAGCTGCAAATTGTCAATAAATTTTAAACAATCAACTAACATCTAAAAATTAATTGATCTAAAATCTAATTAATTCTTAAATTTAGTTTTAAAAAAATAAATATATTTAAGATATCTGGAGATCATCTTGATCTCCTTTATTTGAAAGTTTCATTTATGTAAATAATTTATCAAAATGTTTTCCAAAATCAAAAATATTGACTTTATGTTATTATATATTTAGTTTAATATAGTAAAAAAAATCCAAATTTTACATTTATAATATTTGATTCTATATTAGACAATTACAACTAAGCATTATGTAATACAGAAGTTAAACTATTCATATTTAAATACATAATGTTCGAAAAAAAAAAAATTTTAACAAAATTATAAGCAAAAAAAGTTTTTTATATAGATATAAACATTGGACCTTGATCATAGACAAATTGATTGATGTTAAAAAATTAATTAGACTAATTACTTGAATATTTTTCTAACATAAAATGATTTTAGTTTTATTTTTACAATTTTTTGACTTGTATTTTTGACTTTTGAGATTCAGACTCAGCAACTTTCTAATTAACCTTTTTTATTTCTAATTATATTTTTTATAAATTTTATGGCTGGCGTACATAGGATATAAAACTATTCAAGTCAAAAATTATGTAAATTCAATATAATATAAAAGCAAATATTCATTTCATGAATAACAACTTACATACTGTACTGTAGGTCTGACCCTAATTTCGAGGGCTGTATATATATATATATATATATATATATATATATATATATATATATATATATATATATATATATATATATATATATATATATATATATATATATATTATTATTGTTATTCTTGCATATTAAGATCCGTACTATCCTAATATATTTTGAAAATTTAAGTTTCAAAATAATGACTTGAATCCAAACAGTTATGTAAAAAAAAGAAAAAATGAAGAATAATTTAAAAAAATATTTTTTTTTGCAAAAAAATCTTTTACATCTAGAGGAAAAGCCCCATAATTATTTATTTTCAGTAGCTCTCTTTTTCAGAATGATGTCATCAATAATGATTTATGCTAAGTTTAGTATGCTAATATATTCATATATATACACACATACACATAAAATTCCAAAAAATCTTTCAATAAATTATTAACCAAATTATAAAACCAAGAAATACCTTTTAAATATAAACAAAAACTTTATTAAAAAAAAAAATTTTTTTTTAAATTGCTCTAAATATTAACATGTAACTATTTATATGCTTCATATAAAGTAAAAAGATTTTTAAAATAGTTATTCTAAAATAAATAAATATTAATATGTAGCTCTTTAATTATATCCCTCAGAGATAGTAAAAATTATATACCTATAAGCTGTAAAAATTTCAAAATAGATAAACATAGAGTAAAAATTTTAAAAATATTTATGCTATAATTATTCATTATTCATGAAATTTTACTAAAATCATATATTTAAAATAAAAAATCTAAAACAAATGCACATAAGTAAAAAAACCCAAAGTTTAGGTTCAACATGGCAGTTTGCTTAGGAATGCATTTTAAATTTTGGCAAAAACAATTTTCTAGTTTAAGAGCAAATGGAAGTGTTAAAAAAGTAATTGAAAAAAAAAAGGATTTTATTGCAATTAGAGTAAAGACAAAAAAATATGGCAAAAACAGTAGCAGTGTATAAAACCAATGTGAATACTTTTCCCCGATAAGAATTGAAACGGTTACAATCCCGGATTTTTTATCATCTTCAGCATCTCGTGCATTGTTGCCGTGTAGTATTGCTTCTGTGTTTATAACTAAAGGAATAACATATAACACAGGTAAAAAACTTGCAATTCCTGTTTGAGCAATAAATGGAAACAAAACACTTATTGGGCCAAATGCCAGAGCAATAACAATTTCGCCTAAAGCATGATACTTAAGACCAAAACTTCCAGTGTAAAAAAATGAACAAATAAATCCACTAATAAAGAGTATAAATAAGTGTGATGTTTCACAATTCGAGAGTTTCAAAATTGTAACAAAGAAAAAAGATCCAAAACCATACAAAACAATGAAAAACCAAAACAAACTATCTGGTTCTATGTATTTCTTCACAAGAGTAAGATCATCAGATAATGAATTATCCACATTATTTTGATAATCATAGTATGTGTTAACAAGATTTCCACCACAGTGAACAAATACAACACAGAGTAAACTAATCATAAATATTGACCAATCGAAATTGTTAAATTCTGTTTTTGCTATTAAATTACCCAACAATGCAGGCGTAACAGAAGCTGAAAGAGACCATGGTCTTGTTGCAAGTAAATAATTTGAAGCAATTTTATATCTTGAGTTAATTGACATAATTGATTGTTTTCTAATTCTTAAACAACATTATATATATACATATATATATATATATATATATATATATATATATATATATATATATATATATATATATATATATATATATATATATATATATATATATATATATATATATATATATATATATATATAATTTAGTAAAAATTTGCTTATCAAATTTTTTTCAATTTGAGAAATGATTTTCTACTAAATTATTTTTTTTGTTCATTAAAGAACATTAAGCACTACATTTAAAACTATTTGTATATATATATATATATATATATATATATATATATATATATATATATATATATATATATATATATATATATATATATATATATATATGTAAACATATATAAAAATATATATGTAAGCTTGCATGTATGTATGTATATATATAAACATATATATATATATATAAATATATATATATATA